ACTTCATGATAATGGCTAGTCGATTTAACGTCCCTTTGCCGGTATTGTCAAAAAGGTATTGCATTGTTGTATTTTTTTCTCCTAGAACTACCTTAAAGCATACTAGCCACCCTCACACAACAGCCACCACGAGGTCCTTTTATTTTTATCTCGGGCACGTACAAATAATTATCGCCAATCATTCCCTTTTAGCATAATTGCTTCCTGGAGCAAGTAACCCCGGCCATAAACCATACCCTTGCCCTCCAACCTCTAAAAACGGCCAAAAAGTGCTCGTTGTATGGCGGTTGAACCTTTTCTTGAGGCCACTGTGGTTATTAATTTACGGTAAGTGGCAGATTAGATCAAACCACCCAGATACTACCACTTATCGAAGTACGACAACGAATAATTTCCCAGATCGAAAAGCAGGGAGACAGGATCGGCAAGATTATTCAGAAATCAGTTGTGGCACCTGTTCCACTACGTAGAGAGTCAGCCGTTGTGGTTGTGCCAAAGGATGAAGCCTTCACCTGAGGCACGGCCGCCTGCAGCCAATCAGTGAAGGTCGAAACGCAGATTGACGTTGCACTACCACCACGTCGAGAGACTGAGTCACACGCGGTGCAGACACTCAATTGTTGAACTAAAAGCAAATGAGGGTAGACGGACGGGCTCGCAACTACGATTAAACTACCGCAATTCCGTCAGCGCAAAGCAAATCAATGAGTCAACTAGCTTTGCATATGGCAGTTCGAAGGTTGTTTCCGACGCTGTCCATCGTGTGCTCCACAGCAGGATGAGAGCAGGGACGGTGATTTGCGCGCGAACTAGATTATAGCTTTAGCAGACTTTCGCAGCACCTACCACACACTCTCTCCTCCCCCACCGCTGGGTCCGGTGTCATGACTGAGTCAAGAAGATGGGAGGTGGGAGAGGGCGCAGGTGGCTGGCACGGCGAAAATCCGCGTCTAGACGCACCACCACACTCCCTGGTCCACAACGTACACTGACCAGGATTTTGCCTAACAGCAAAAAGGGGGACGACTCGGATCCCAGTTTGTGCGGCGTGAGTCTGCAACTGAGCGTGCCGCCACACCCAACTTTTGGTGTTTGTTATGGGTGCGCATTCCCCATAAGGCCTGCCAGACTCTGATCTAGCCCCCGTGTCTGCATAGCGCAGCTAGCGCATAGTCTGTTTTGGAGGCAAAGTTTTGCAGCCACAGTATGTTTAAGTAATACTTCCAAGTTAAACACATCGGATTTTATTCCATCTTGAGTAGAGAACCTCAGCGATTCCGATGACAGGTTGCCATTTAAGGGTTTTATGCGAAAGGTGTAACAACTGAGACGATAACTACAAGTTAAACTTTTCATTCTTTGTTTTTAGCACAGATACCAAAGCACCAGTCTCTTCGGCATCATCACCAATGTCCTCGGCATCAGCGGTATTGTCCCACACGCTCATTCGAAAGAGAGGCTCGAGAGGTAGGTACGTGATGGCTGGATGTCGGCTCCTGTTCACTTGGACATGTCACACATCAAGAAAGAAGGCGGAGGGACAGTGAACTTCGGTTAACGTTTGGTGGTATTCTGTATAAAGGCAGCAATCAGGATGATACATATATGAGTCCTGCCCACTTGGGAGTACGTGTGCTTCTGATAGTCAGCGGCTACACACAACGAGGAAATACCACCTACTTGTACCGTATTCAGAGGAAATCAATTACGAAGATCGGAAAGGCTGACACGGCTTCTGCGTTTTGGGGAAAATGACCGTTATGTCCCCATGTCTCTTTCGCGCAGTTTCAGGCCAGTGTTTCAGTCTTCTCACTCGTGTCGCAGTTTATTCACCTGTTTTCCTTATAAGGCTTTAGCCTATCGGTAAATGCCGACATTCAGGCCTACAAACCGGTTGACCCAAAATTTGAGGTTCGTGACAGCGAGCCCACGAACAAACAGCTCACGCAACAGAACCATTCTTGCATAATTGTCAAGTCTATTTTTGTGCCGTCTTTCCCACCCCCTCCCCCTCTACAACTACATCATTCACCTTCGCAGCCGAGGCGCTCAGCAGAATGCCGCGTGAAAACTTTAATAAAAACGAGAACCAAAGCTCGTGAAATCGTGATGTTTTGCCTTAGGATATTGTTCACCCTCAACGAGACGATGGTACTTCCACCGCCGTCCCTAGGGCTTATGGCTGATGAGATTTTTCAAAATCTTGAAAGACAGATATCCAGGACCAAGCGCAGATTTTGGGCGTGCTAAGTTGAAGATATCTTTTTTCACTACAGACCCGGACAAAATGGAATACTGTAAGGAGCAGATGCATTCGGACATTCCTGATCCGTTAAAACAGTTCACACCTGTGACAACACGAAAGAAGGTGTATACGCATGCTATGCTGACTAGTAATAAATCGTTGCAGTTTGCTAGTCGACAAGCGGTACGAGACAGAACGTCCCTGGGAGCCTTTCGGAGCCAACAAATGTCCACGAGCTTTCGTCAGAAGAACCAAATGTCCAGAAGGAAGCAGAACCATAAGGCCCAGATCTCGCTGAAGCATGCTGAGTGGGAAAGAAGTCTGCGGCACTGTGGCTAGAGTCCTTCTCGCGGCAGCTAAGATCATGGGCAGACACTGGCCACCACGACCTTTAAATCAGACCCGGAGTAGGGAGAAGGTTGACGTCGATAGAGGGAGAGAGAAAAAGTACTTTATTTTGTACAGAATGAATGAAGAATGGGTTGGAGCAAGTTGACCACCGGAGGAGAGGCGCTGGTACGATGTCGCCGGAGCAGGCGTCAGAGCGCCCTGAGCGAAAGCAGGCCTGCGACAGCGTCCAAGCTGATTGGCCGGTTTGGATATCTGTGATTTACGTCAGTCTTGAAGACAGCTTATCAATGTGGATAGCTGTGATCGACCAAAAACCAGACCCAGTCTCTCGGTTTCAGAAACAAGTCAGACTCAATGGGAGCGCAATACGGGGCCTCGAAATGTCAGACAAATGACTGTGGACGGTGAACATGCGCTAAAGGCGCAGTGTTGCAGAAGATGTCTGCAACAGGGTCTCCGCATCCTCGTTCCGCTTGGAAGAATGGCCACCCACAAGGCCTCTCTCAATCCCCGGCAACGGCACAGAGAAGGACACCACTTAACTGTCAGTAGACTGTGGATCGTGTCATATGGAGTTTTATCTTGGCATACATTTGGAGGCTGTTGAAGAAATTACACTGCCAACAACGATTACTTCCCACGACCTCACACCTTAACTCAAAATCCGTTATTTTGTGAAATTTACTTCTTGTTTATTGCCTAATTACTACTCCCATTTCTTTTGTCATACAATAGCGTAAGATAAGACTCTCGGCATAAATCCAGGCAATTTTAATGTTTTCGTCCATTTTGTCAGCTTACTGTCAAGCGTGTTGTTCCACCCATAAAACTCCCTCTACCATAGATCACGTATAGAACGGTCCACAGTCTACTGACAGTTAAGTGGGGTCCTTCCCTATACCGTTGCTGCCATCCGTCACAAATCGATGAGAGCAGAAGACATCACCCTTCCATAAGAAGTCAGCCGCAGTCCACTTCACTGCAGCTTTCGACTGGACAACTGAGTCGGTGGAGCTAGACGACGGCTGGAAAGCGGATGCACGGACCTCAGCTGACCATTCATATGTTAGACCCGTAGTTTGAGGTCGCGACCCATTCCGCGCAAACGGACACATTTTCGGCTGGAGTTACGTTCACAAGTCCAGACAGGTGCATGAATCCTGAATGCCAGCCTACCGCTTAGTTAAGCTCCATATAAAGATGGCTATCCCCACCCTACCTAGTTTTGCAAACCGTTCTGGCCATAGGTAATGAGGGTGTGGGGCCGTCGAGGTCACCGATTATCGTCACGATCAACGAGGACGGACCAAACTACGACGGAGCGGGGGTCACCTGGCCTCCACGGTTAACATTGTCGGCCCTCACGCTACACATGATGCACATACAACTAACATGCTACACAATAAGCGCTGTGCACAGAATTTTCCAATATTTAAAGGTAGACAGTCGAAATCAGTGCTTTAAAAATTGGAACACCAAGGCACCTCGTCCGGTGGATGATTGACATTATTTTGATATCATCGTGAATCAGTTGTTCTGCCGTATCAAAAACCAACGAAAGGCACGTGCATGAGGCCTCAGACCAATCGACAACATCTTTCAGTCTTCACCGATGAATCCGCGGCCTTTTAGTTTACTATTATTGGTCTGAACTCTCTGGATTATTCTAGCTCTGCCTATAAAATAGACATGGTTAGTGTCTGCATGTCTGTGGTCGTCTAGTGTTAAGTGACTAGCCTAATTGGTCGGCCGAAAATCGGCTGGCACGCAAAACTCCGCCTCCTAAATTCATATAAACATTGTGTTACTGCCAACGATGACAATGCGCGAATGTTATTGACCTTTGTAATCGCTGTATGAACATCGGAAGGCAGTATAAATATGCCACTCCGGGATATAACGTGTCATTCTTCCTCGACGTCGTCGGCTCTTTTTGAATCTTTACGTGCCTGTTTTGTCTGATGTCGCGGAGAACTTTAGCACACCAATGGTAGAGGCACGGGATTTTTTGATGGTTGGTGCATTATTAGGTCCCGCATGCGTGCAATTCCTCCTTGTACTTTATGTGAGAAGACGGTTATGGTGTCCCACTTTTTCTGCAGATCTCTCTACGATCACCCCTGGGTCATGTTGATAGGATGTTTTGATTCATATTCAGCCCGATAAGTCGGCTGCAACTGTGCATTGCCTGAACGCACCAACTAGCAATCATGAATTGGCACCTCTCGCTTTCCAGGACCCATATAGCATCTAAACTCACCACTTTTGGAACTTTAACAAGCCCTACGAATGAATCTCTATGCCGAAGTTCATATCTCAGACTGTTGTAGGCACGTGTTTCTCTCGAACATACAATGTCTGCGTTACTGGATTTCGTCGCTGAAGGGGCATGCGCGCTCGGAGTATGGGTGCACGAACCTGGGGCCGGTTTGTCAGTTTACTTCAGTCTAGCCGCAGGCAGGAGCACTGTACAGCTGTGATTCCGCCTGATCTAACCAGCCCAGATGATGATGATGATGACGACGACGATGATGATGATGATGGTGGTGGTGGTGGTGGTGGTGGTGGTGGTGATGATGATGATGATGATGATGATGATGATGATGATGATGATGATGATGATGATGATGATGATGATGATGATGATGATGATGATGATGATGATGATGATGATGATGATGATGATGATGATGATGATGATGATGATGATGATGATGATGATGATGATGCTAATTTTACCTCTTCACGCGTGACGATCTGTGGCAGCTGATCGCGAGTTTTCGGCTTATTCTCTTTTCTAGTGACGAATACCAGATATTGAAGGTTCGAAACCCACTTTCATAACTTGACAAATTGCGTCGAGTCATATTTTTAACTGACCTTCTCTTCGACGCCTCCAGGTTGACAACGGTTTTTGCAGCAGGTCAGAATCTAACAGTGGGGTCTACATTTCATTGGTCGTGTGCAAAGAGGGCTATAGTAACCCCGAAGACATTCATCAGTTTATGGTAAGGCGGACTTTCAGCAAGGGCATGGTTTATGACCGGGGTTACGTGCTCCGGGGAGCAGTTATGCTAAAAGGGAATAACTGACGATATTTTTTGTATTTGCCACAGAAAGAAAAAACCTCGCAGTGGTAGTTGCGTGAGAGTTACCAAAATGCTTTAAGGCAGTCATCGGAGTAAACATAAAATAATGCAATACCTTTTTTACAATATCTACAAAGGGGCATAACGTTCATTTAGTGATAAAAATGATATACCCTTTTAATTTGTGACAATATGGAGGACCCACATTTGTGATACCGAAAATTTCTTTGATAGATAGCTCTTTTTCTCAACACAAATGTTCCCCGAAGTAAGTAACCCAGACCATGCAAGATACTCTTGCCGGGCTTTCCTAGCTTCTACCCTACCATCTCTGAAGACACCCAACATGTTTCAGTGGAAAGACACAGTCAAGACGACAGGAAATGCGGCGAACGCAGGGACTGGTGAAGATCGATGCAAATCAACCCACGCAACTGAGTTAAATTTAAAGCAGAGAAACTTCGGATATTTCATCGAAGAAAGTTGCCATGGTAGTCGCATTTCCCTTTGGTTTGCGGACACAACTATAAGGTATACCAGAAAGCAATGTTTTATTAATAAATGACAAGGGCAGTGTTTGTACAGCTGTCATAGTTGTCAATCACTACTGTCCATCTCCACACTGAGTTTTCAATATCCCCATCATAAGAGGATGTACCTTTTGATTATAAGAGTTCCGATACTCTGGGTTTGACAGCATCGATATTTCGAAAAGTTTTCCATACAGGGCGTGCTGCATAGATCTGAACTAAGGACAATTAGTTGATGCATAATCAACTGAATAGGGTGGATGTGGAAGAAGTCCCTACCCTAAATCTCAGGTCTTGTTCGGGATCTGTCAGGCATGATGCGGTCTCGCGTTGACAAGCAGCGGAATGATACCTTTCTTATTGATTAGCGCTGGATGTTCAACGGTGAGATCTTGATGCACATGTTCTAACTACTGACAATAGAGGTCTACTGTTACGGCCTCACGCTGTTCCAGTAGCTCGAAGTAAAGTGGGTCTTCCATACTCCGTCACACACACAACAAGACTTTTCTGAACTATGGGTCTGGTTTCAGCTTGTGAACTGATGTCTGACTTTTGGAAAGCCAATAGTGTTTCTGTTTGTTGTTAACGTAAAAAATCCATTTCTCATCTCCAATGGCAATTCGATGAAAAGTGGTTCAGGCAAAGATCGCTGAAGGTAGCATGGGATACAAAATCGTTGTATACTGACCTCTCCTACCCGTTGAAGGTGCTCCTGAACAGTATATCATGATACATTTAGTTATTCTGATAATTTCTCAATTGTCTAGGGATCTGGCTCGACGGTTGCGTTCAAAAAGTCAGTATTCAGCTCCACTGTTCTTCCCAGGCCATGGGCATCGGAGAGGTCAAAATCGCTCGCTTGGAATTTTGCGAACCAACGTTGGCACTCGCGGACACTTAAAGCATTCGTATTGAGACCATAAATTGTTTTGGCAACTGCTGTTGTGTTGGTTGCGTTATGCAGGTCGAAATGCGAACATGACTGCCTTCGAATCTTACGCCTCCCATTTGCTAAGCTCAACCTAAGATGAAAAATCATACCAAAGTCTAGAAAGCAATACGTAACTGACTTATAAAGACACGTAGTTTAAATACCTAATATATAGAATTGAATTATGACCTAGAAAAAAGCCATTACTTTTTGGTGCCCCTTACACTTTTGTTTGTGTTCAGACGCAGTTACTGCAAGGGGAAGTGACACGCTTCGATCTACTCTGCCTGAAGGGCCTTACTTGCCTACCGCAGGCCGACTTCAAATCTCTATTGCTCATCTGATAAGTTTGGTACCGTACTACTTGATGCGAGGAAATACAGATTGAATTTTAGCAGCTTAACGAACTCCAAAGTGAAAGAAGCGCAAATCCTGGAGGCGCATATCAATATCGAAACCCAGTGGAGGGAGCTGTGAGATACCATAACTTCCACGAATGAAGGCGAAATTTCGAGTTCCAGGTGTACGCATAAGTAAAGAAGAAGAGTCGAGCACCGGAACACTTTGTTTATTGTCCTGAGCTTTCAGACTCGTACAGGAGTCCATCGTCAGAGGTAGTAGCAGCAACAGAACAAGTGACAGTCATAAAGCATGTGGGCCAATCATCGACCGACGGCGCAAGACTAGAGGTGACTACGCAGGGCTCTGTGCACCGGCGCCAGATCGATATATCGATTGACTGAGTTCTCATCCGAGGCCTCGGCTTCACTCAATTCTCGGTCTGTTTTGTTTCCGGTGTGGGCAACGATTGACTGGGTCTCAGGTGGGACGCAGGGCGGTCTTTAACTGACGGTGGAAGTGCTCGACCATGACATCGGCAGCTGGATGGCATGCCGTTGTCCGCATGCGCGTGCAGCCAAGAAAGTTGCGAAAGGCTTGGAAAAAAAGCAGATTCGAACCAGGCTCCTCGGTCAGTCGTAACCGCGGATGTGACACCGAAAAAGGCGATCCAACGACTGACAAAAGCCTTAACGATGGTGTCCGCCTCAGTGTTTGGCAATGGGATAGCATCAGTCCAGCGGGTATACCGATCAACAGGTGAGTATAGCCATTGGATGAAGGCAAGGGGCCAACGACATCCAGATGCACATGGCTAAACCTTGAGTCGAGGCTGGGGGAAGTGCCAGGCAGGGACTCGTTCTGACGCCGCACCTTGTTCCGCTGCCTACACAGACACGACCGGGTCCAAACTTAGACATCTTAATTCATGTCAGGCAAGACAAATCTTTCCGCGAAGAGCTTTTGTGAGGCTCGTATTTCAGGGTGGGAGAGTCCATGCAGAGTTTGAAACACAGCTCGACACATCGAGGTGGCCACAAAAAGGACGATGAAAAAAAGGTCGAGACGTTACAAAGTATGGTACTAGAGTCGGTGGTCAGAGGAAAGTCTATGGATTGGAAACTGCTAACGGACCCGTCACCAGGAAAACCGACTAGTTGTTGCTCAGCCACCATGACGCCAAGGTCGATCCCGTGTGAGAGTTGGGGCGACGATAGTGATGGCCTGGACAGCATGTCAGCCTTCTCATTCTTCGTCCCGTCAGTGTGGTGGATGTCGGTGGTTAACTGGGAGATGTAGTCCAGGTGGGCGATCTTTCTGGGATTGTATTTGTCGGAGTGGGAACGAGGAGGAAAAATCAGTGACTCGTGGTCTGTGAAAATAGCGATGTCACGACTTTCAAGGAAATGCAGGAAATGCTTCACGGCCAGATAAATGGCAAGTAGTTCACAGCCAAAAGTAACGTTGAGGGTTTCAGCCGGCAAGAGCTTTTTGGAGAAAAAGGCCAGTGGTCGAGTCGAACCAGAAAGTTTTTGTTGAAGAACTGCACCTGCGGTTACGGTCATAGCATCTACCATCAGGGATGGTTGAGCTTCGGGAGGGGGATGCGGGAGCAAGGTGGCGTCGGCAAGGGAATTTTTAATTCTCCCAAAAGCAGCCCTGGCTTCACCAGCAAGCTCGAGGGGGCCTTTGGGGCCAGAAGGCATGTTGGTGCCGCACTAGCTCAGCACGTACGGGTATCTATTGTGCCATTTGCCCTTCTTTTTTGCAGGAGACTGTATTAATCTCTCCGATTAATAAACTTTTCGGTGGGAACTAGTTTGATATACTTGCGACGTGAGCACTCGGCCAATTATTTAAATAAGATTATAAGCTGTCGTACCGCTGGCTATGTTAAGAGATTAACCCTGTGAGTTTTTAATCGACTAGAAGGTTTTTAGGAAGTGTACACAACAAGGAGGCAAACCTTTCTATTGAAATGATACCAAGAATATTGTCAGCGACCGCTGGCCCCGTGTATTATCTACATGTCTCCAGCTGGTGGACGATAAGTGTTTTGTCGGCAAACGTATTTACTCCGAAATTCGCACATTCAGGGAGAAGGCACACGCGGCGCTATATATCTGGTCCCACTGGATAGCTGAGCAGCCAGTCATAGTCGACGAGAAGATCGTGCGCAATATAGTTGTAGGCACTTGTAGTGGCGTACTTTGTTTGAGTATTAAAGAGTTTCTGAAAGTTCAGTAACTGAGGTCGGTGTCATGGTCTTTATCCCCGTATACGCGGGTTAGCAATACAAAGATCCTGAGGTGAAAAGAGGTTGTTGTTAGCGAGCACTTCACCCTCACTTCGCGTGTCAGAGCGAAGTTAAATGATCTCAGCCTGTACGCTGAGTTCTGTACGAAGTTTCCTAGATCGCCAGACTAGTTCAGCACATCGATGGCCTCCATAAGACCAATTTGGGCAGTGCATAAAAATTATGTGCTTCTGTGACAGATCTTGCCGTCATAATGCTGCAAAGGCCGCGACGAAAATTCCGCTGAATCGCTCGCGTGTATTTTTGGGGAGTCGTTAGTTCAGCTATACTATCATGTGATTAAACAGGACGTGGAAAAAAGCATTTCCTCGTTTCAGAGCTTCCGGGGGACATTACTGATAAGTCAGACTGTGAAGCAGCCATCATGCTAGTCACTACGCGGCAACGAACTAGCGGCCAGCAGTGCCACGGTCGTGATCAATCAGCCAGTTAGTTCGCCAATCAAAAACACCTATATCTAGTGACGTAGAGTGCATGATATAAGTTTAGGAGACGCAGTAAGGAATTTGGTCCTGCCACCATTCCATGATTTATCCCTTTCTGTCCTAAGTGGCATCAACCGCACCGCTACGGTGTCCACTGCCTAAGAATATTGATCCATATATCTTTTACAACAGCAACCCCGTGTTCTTCGTTTTCCCTGTCTATTTCTATCCTATATTTTTTTAATCGGCCCTTGTTGCATTTTCTTCACTCTCTATTTCTGGCTGTTGTTTATGCCTAGTCAGATGATCCGAAGATCCACAAGAAACCTACGATAGGAAAAAGTAGGCGAAAGTCAGACATAATCAGTTATTGGACACCAGCAGGGAGTCTTTTTCATAACCAGACCGTGCCGAACCCGGATTCCAATGCCCAGACAGCATTTCTTTCGAACGTCGCCCTCTTCTGTGCAAGATAACCTTACACACCTAACTCATCTACTAGGTTGATATCGCAGATTGTGAACCTCTTCTCCGAGTACTGCTAGCCTGCAGCTGCAGTCAACGTAAATGACTGTGTGAAAACCCACACAGCTGCGCATATTCTCAAGGGGATTAAACAGGGTTTGGGAGTTCTCACCCTTACAGTAGCCCAGGTCCGTGCTGCGCAGGGTTTCCATCCGTGAAGTCTCAACTGCTCGAATCTCAGATCTTCAGCCGATGTTTCACATCAAACGGCGTCTGTTGGCATCAGCACCCCCACTGCCATTCTTCTCATGGTCAGAAACATTATTTACGTAATACTCGTCTGCTAGTCGATAACAGTCACAGACTCTGTCGGACCAACTTCCTCAAGTCGCCTTCTCCACATTTTGGAGAAGGGCATTCGGTGGAGATTAGTTGAACTATTTATTGCTAACGGCAAATCAATTTTACCAGTAACAGCAACTTTCAAATTTTCGAATCTCAATTCTTAGAAAGAAACATAGATCATTGTGACTGCCATCGTATGATGCTAAGATTTCTGCCATTTGCGAGTTCCCCGCTCTCACGTCCTTCCAGTTTCAACCCCACTTTTGGTCTCAATCACTTTTTATCAGTGCTCAGTCCCGACAGCTGTTTACTGGTGTCAAACTGCATCAACCATGGCTGTCATCCTCCTTACGTAGCCGTAGACACCCTCCATAGTGCCAATAGAAGTGGGCAGGCGAATGTCTCTGATGATAGGTCCGAGTGAGAATCCGAAACGTCAGGACAATAAGCTTCTTGTTCCAGTGATAGCACCTTCTTTTTCCGAACCCTCCAGAGTGTCAAACGGATCTAAACGAATAAAACTGTCTCTTCTTCTCCCTAACCGACGTCCACTAGCGATTGCGCTGATCCTGAAGCTCGAAAAACACAAATTGTTTCGGACGGAAAGAGGCACAAGAGAAAGAGCTAAAAGTCCATAGAACAACGCGCGTCATTGAATAATACATGCATACACTAACGTATATGCTTCCTTTGGACATCAATGCTTACCCATACATGACAACATGTAACCTCTTCCGCAATAGAAAACCGAGTTTGGATAGCCTGAAGCGTAATCCATCCCTTCCCTGAAATCAACCGTCTGATCATACTGTACATCATGAACACGGCAACCCAACCAAAATCGACGTCATTATTGAATCTTATTCATAATACCTCCGAGAATGTTACTAGTATAACTAACCCCCATGAATGTCGTCCCCTGTTAGCGCGCGCATTTCTGATCTGCGCGTTCACCATTGGGAGTTTGATCGTCGTTGCCGATGTTGTCCGCCGCGTGCTCCACAGCAAAATGCAGCAGGCACGGTGACTTGCGCGTGGGTTAGTTTACAGAGAGCGTAGACTTGCGCAAAATCTACAGCACTCTCTCCTCCTCCATCTGGGCCCGGTGTTAAGGCATAGTCAAGAAGGCTGGAGGGTGGGAGAGGGCGCAGATGGCTGGTGCGGCCGGGGCTACCCCTTGGCGCGCAGCCACAGCCGGCTAGGATCCCACGGAGATTAAACCCCATAAAGACCACATTATGAAGGAGCCATTAGAACCTGACACTCATTCCACCGGCGCGCCCTTCTATATAAGCACGCACACTGGGCCGACTGCGAGGTCGGAGTCGCCCCGTCAGTTGGCAACCTTCCAAGCCAAGGGTTTTAGCGCACCGTGATAGCTTCAAGCTTGTCAGATCGTTTATAGCGAGGGAAATGCGTTGAGTCGTCGACTTCACTCTTCTTTCCCATTCCCAGGGCCCAGCCATTGTCCAAGCCCGCTAGATGTCTGGTGCGGGGTCGATGGCAAAACGTCGGCTGAATCCTTGTCATCTAAAGAAATTAATATGGTAAACATGCTGTCGAAAGTGTAACTTCCGACTCTGATAGCCAAATGCAGACACCTACCCAACGAAAGTAAATGGCAAGCACGTAAGCATGGATTACAGGGAGAGGGATCGCCATAGCTCAAAGTATTTATAAGAGCGTATATTTTTCGCAATATTTGCTCGTTCAGAAGTGAACACCATGCCAAGAAGGATAAGCGATCGCAACTATTACCTCACGCTTGCATTTCGGGGCACTGTTAAGTGAACCTAACAATTTCAACGTACGGTATCCACATCATCATAGTCTAATGATTTTGATGTACCCTCCAAAAACGTTCGTGTGCAAAGAAGGAGAAACTTCCTCGTCCGACACTTTCTGGTACAAACCCGTTACTTTCGACGAACGCCGGTCGGCGGTGACAGCATTAGTCTAGACACTCGGGCTAGATCGCAGTTGGCAGCCGTCCCGGTACCGAAAACTCCCAGCTGCCTGTCTTACGGGACCGGTGGTAATAGGGGGTATACGGGTGGGGCACCCGAATGAAGCACCCAAATGCTCTTACGTCTTGCAAGAACACGCAGTGCTATTGAGAGTGCTATTGGGCCCTCGATTGGTAATCTCACCGACCCAGGACACTATGTGCTGCTCAGCGTGTACCCGCAAAAGCCTCATGCGCGCACGCCTACGTGTGCAGGCGTGCACTGTAACCCTCTCGGCGAATGCCTGTCCGTCAACCGGGTTGAGAGGCCTAGTCAAATGGTGGACCTTGTTGTCACTATAAGACTCGATAGGAAGGGATTGACCTCAATATCAGACACACGCACTCACCTTGGGCGCCAGTACCTAGCTTAGCGTAGTGCTTGGACAGTGCCAGCAGTTGCGAAAAAAATCGATTAGAGAGTAAGGCTTCAGAATAGCTCTGGAAACCGTGGCTACAGTTAAATCACGAGGCTTGTAGGACAGTGGGTAACGCGTGTGGGGGACTCACATGCGGAAGCCTGCAGCAAAATATTCGGTGCGGCCCTTATGCGGCCCACGGTGCGTGTACCTCAATCACACCGTTAACTCTCGGACAGTGATTTGTGCTCTCCGATTTTCCAATCACATAACTGTTATTTCTAATATTATCAGAGTGTAAGGTCTCTAGAGTCCTATTAAAAGGCATTTCTTTAAATTGAAAAGGAAGATGGAATTTATCCTGCACTCCATCCGCGAGAATCTTGCTTAAAAAGTTGCTCAAATCGTCGTCCATGGTTGTTTACACAACAATGTCCCTTTCTAGCACGTACTGAAGAACAGTCGTGCAAGTTTCACAATGCGTAGACTGTCTCTTTGGAATGATAATCTTACCTAATTGTTCCACGGCGTTGGGTATACTCTTTTATACCCCGAATTTCAGTCAGACCCAAAGAAGGAAATAGTATAGAACAAGTCAGAAGAAGAAAACGTTCCAGTGATCATACCTTCTTCCGAACTATTTCCTGGAACTCGCCTGTTTAGCTCTATCGGCAATATGGGATAGGATCAGAGGATCCAGATGACCTCTCCATAGAGCATACGAGACCGGCTGGTCGTGGAAGACTTCTTTTAGGCAATTGCGCTTGACATGGGCATAATATGGGGCGGC